GCCGAGGATCCAACTAAAAAACACTATTTTTGTTCTTGTTGTTGGTTGTTTTTTGTTGTTATTGTTGGTTTTTGCTAGTCCTGGGGCATGAACCCAGGGCCTCAACCCTATGCTTAAGCAATTTTACTCAACGCTACTACTCTACCACTTTAGCCACAGCTCCAATTTACATTTTTTGGTGATTTACTAGAGATAAGAGTCTCTCAAATTTCCCTGTCTGTCACTGCTGACCTCAAACTGTGATCCTCTTATCTCAGCCTCTTAAGTTGCTGATTTTGAGTGTGAAAAGTGTAATACTTGGTAGGCAATGGCTACCTCCCCCAGCCAACACATGCCTGAAGGTTCTCAATTAGCCGCAGAGGCCGGAGGAGTCAACAAGTAGTTATTGATTTCAGTTTCAGCTACCATCAAAACTTATCGATCAGAGAGATAACTATTGATCACATTGAAACCAAGGTCAAGGCTGGCCTCCTGGGGTGAAATAAATCTTCATAGTCACCAAACCTGCAGATGCTAGCTAGGTGTGATGCTTTTTTTTATTCTAAAACTGCTGGTCAGACCAAGGCATAGTTGAGGTCATTTCTTGACTGTGGATTGTTACCAGTGAAAAATGATAGCCCAGCTGACTTGTTTCTAGGGAATTGGATATAAAATTGTTTAAAAACTCTTCATATATTAAACATCCAAAGGATAAATCTGATATTAAAAATTGTTATTAAGAATACTCTCATTAGAGAGGGGAAAAAAACCAGGAGAAAGCGAGGGAAGGGGTGACTACATTGTCTAAAAAGAAATGTACTCTTTACCTGACTTACATAACTGTTACTCCTCTGTATATCACCTTTATAATAACAATTTTAAAAAGTTTTAAAAAGAATACTTTCATTTAAAAATCCTTTTGAAATACATAGAACTGTCCTGATCTTTCTGTGAAATTAAGAATTATTTATAGCTTATTTTATATCTTCTCATCTTCGCTTTTCTATTTGAAGTTTACTAATGGTTAAAAAAAGGCCTTGTTTGATAATAGTAGCTATTTTTTAATAGCTTCCTTTCTCCCTCCCTCTCTGCCTCCCTCCCTCCCTCCCTCCTTCCTTCCTTCCTTCTCTCCTTCCTTCCTTCCTTCTCTCCTTCCTTCCTTCCTTCCTTTCGTCCTTCCTTCCTTCCTTTTTTAATACTGGTTTTGGGGTTTGAACTCAGGACTTTGCTCTCCCACTTAGCTTTTTCATTCAAAGTTGATGCTCTGTTATTTGTACCACACCTCCACTTCTGGTTTTTTGCTTTTTAATGGAAGAGAAGAGTCTCAGGAAATTGCCTGGGCTTGCTTTGCCCAATGATACTCAGAGTCCAGCATTCTTTAGTACCTGGGATTAAAGGTATGAGACACCAGTCAAGGGCTCACATTTTTCCCCAGGGCCAGTATATGATTGAGCTCCTCCTTCCTACTACCTTCCCTGTAGCTGGGATGACAGGTATAAACTACTACACCCACTTTATTGGTTGAGATAGGGTGTCATCTTATTTGCCCAGCCTTGATCACTTCAACTCTGCCTTCTAAGTAGCTGAATTACATATGTGAGCCACCATGCTAGGCTAAGAAAGTCTTCAGTACTGTACAATTTAAAAAAAATCTTTGGCTGAGTTCCAACCCATGCCAACTCAAACAAACAGAAATAAATCAATAATGATTTATAATGGAGTTGTTGTTTAAAATTATTTTGGTTCTAATCTTTTAATAAGTGACCAAACATAACCTGCTTAAGACTATTTTGTAGCCACGAATTGCACAATGGGTATGTGTTTTTGCTCAACAGATAAAGGGGATGTGGGGGCTCACAGGCTGCAGATAAGAGACAGAGTTGTTTGGCCCAAGTTTATTGACACTTTCTCCTATAGCTGATTGTAGACACTTTAGTACTCTGTATAAACTGGGGGTGTGTCCTTGTGTGCAAAACTAGAGTGGAAGGAAGGAATCTGACTACAATTTTTAGATATGATGCCATCTATGATTGGGTTACATGAACAGAACTTCAATATACTGCTTCTGCATACCTGGAACCCCCAATCCTCTCTCCCCCATTCTCTTTCTCTGATGCACTCATACCTGCTGCTAAACAATATTAGCAATAACACAAATAACAATGATTAGAAACTACAAAATATCAACTAAACACCTCTGTATCCATACTAAAAACAAGGAATTACTGGATTCATAGTTACAGAAAGAGTAGTTCTTCCATATAGAAGAATTCTAAGTAATATATAAAGAATGATCAACCAAGAGAAATAGAAAGTGATCATTAGAGGCCAGGCACAGTGACTCACTCCTGTAATCCCAGGTACTCATAGTTTGAGCCTGGCCTGGGCAAAAACATTGCAAGACCTCATTTGAATCAACAGTCTGAGCCTGGTGGAGTATGCCTGTCATACAGCTACATGCTGGGGGGTGGGGAGGGGCATGTGAATAGGAGGATTGTGATTATGGCTTAGATAACATGTGAGACCCTATCTGAAACATAGTTAAAATAAAAACTCTGGGAAAATAACCAAAGCAATTCTGGGGGCATGGCTCAAGTGGTAGAATGCCTGTCTAACAAGTATAAGGTCCTGAGCACTACTCCCGTTTCCCCTCAAAAAAGTTGTCATTAGTGTGCTGTAGTGGAAGTCTTGAAGGCAGAGACTGACAAATGCAAAGTCAGGGGCCCACGTTCAAGGAAAAATAAGAGCAACCTCCACAGATCACCCCTAAGGTGACTATTAACCATTATTTCTCTTTGGAAGATGGAGCTTTGACCCCTGCCTCTCTCTCTCTCTCTCTCTCTCTCTCTCTCACACACACACACACACACACACACACACACACACACAAATACACATGTGCCTTGCGTGTGCACTAGGGGTATGGGCTGACTTCTGACATAGGAGAATATGAAGGAAAAACGAGAAATGTGACCATGTAGAAGCTGCCTGGCCTGACCTTGAGCATGGTGTGAAATAGTCATTATAGACACACAGCAACTCTCCTGAATCAAATCCCCAATTGCATTTCTCATAGTCTCCTTAACCTCGTTCAACTTCAGTCAAAAGAAGAAAAGGCTAAACAAACAATACTGCGTGTTATAGCATCTTCTTGCCACCATTTATTTTAATATTAGTTCTCTTCCTGTCTCCTATAATAAGTGCCTCATTTGAAAACACAACACCATTAAGCAGGGCACCAGTGGCTCATGCCTGTCATCCTAGCTACTCAGGAGGCTGAGATCTGAAGATTGAGATTCGAAGCCAGAAAAATCCCTGAAACTCTTGTTTACAGTTAAGTAGCAAAATGCCTTGTGTGTGGGTGTGGCTCAAATGGTAGAATGCCAGCCTTGAGCAAATAAATAAAATAAATTCAACATTACCACTGGTTTATATGGGACCAACCCTGTAAGGTCTGGTACCACCCATGATTTTAGGTCTCCTCGGGGGTCCTTAGGAAGTGTCCTGTGTGGGTCAGGAGGGGCCACTGCATGGACCTTTGCCTGGATCCAACAAGGTCATTAGGAAACTGTGCTGCCATTCTCCAAATCTGTAACCTCATTTCCAGTCATCAGAAAACCACAGGAAACCCAAACTAAGGGACATTATGTAAGTAGCTGGCCATTCTTCTTTAAAGTGTCAGTGTTTGCTGGGCCTAGTGGCTCACACCTGTAATCCTAGCTACCCAGGAAGATCTGAGTATCATAGTCTGATGCCAGCTTGAGAAGGAAAGTCCATGAGACTCTTATCTACAATTAACCAGCAAAAAAGCTGGAAGTAAATCTGTGGCTCAAGTGGTAGAGCGCTAGATTTGAGCAGAAAAGTTCAGAAACAGCACCCAGGTCCTGAGTTCAAGCCTGAAGACTGACACAAAAACAACAACAAGAAAAAAACCAGTGTGACAAAAAGATGTGGATGTCCTGGGCTGGGGAAAAGTAAGGAGTATGATAAGGAAATACAACATGGTATTTTGAATTGAACCCAGAAATACAGCAGCCAGGGGGAAACCTGGAGAATATGGCTGCAGTCCAGAACGTAGGTAACATTAATACACCAATGCTAATATCTTTGGATAATGACACCATGTCTATATAAAATGTTACATAGCAGTGGGGGGGGGTAAGGGCAAAAACATGTGGAACTATACCAGCCTTATAACTCTTCTGCAAATCCAAAGCTATTTCAACATTAAAAACACTTCACAGACATCTTGGAGGGTTCTTTGGTCTCTTTCAGTGAGTTATCAGGTAAATTAATATGAGCATGTATGCTTTCTATTTTATGCTTCTGAGTATGGCCTTTTGTTTTTCTTGTTTTTGAAAAGTAGCCTTGATAATGAAAAGTAACTCCATGTAGACTTGCTGTTGTAGTTTGAACTCAGGGCCTTGTGCTCACTTGCTCGACTGGTACTCTACCACTTGATCTCTGGCCCTGTTTTCCCTAAATATTTGGGAGATGATATCCAATGGACATTTCTGCCTGAGCTGGCCTTGAGCTGCCAGCCTCTGGACCTCAGCCTCCTATGTAGCTAGGAGTTGGGTGTGAGCCATCAGCACTCAGCTTCCATTTACATGGCTCTTTGGGAGCACAGTGGGGAGACAAAATGATCCAAAATCTGATGCAAAAAGAGAGAATACTTTGGGGAACCAAGGTTCCAAGAACTTTGTGTGCGAGGGCACTATTTTAGTACATACCAAGTGTGTGCTATTTCAGCACACTGAGTGTGTAAGGGTGCTATTTCCATACAAGCTGAATGTATAAGGGCTCTATTTCCACACACTGAGTGAGTGAGGGTGCTATCTCGGCACAGCCAGTGTGTAAAGGCTCTATTTCAGCACAGCGAGTGTGTGAGGGTGCTATCTGGGCACAATGAGCATGTGAAGGTGCTATCTCTGCACATCAGGTATGTGAGGGCACTATCTGGGCCCTGGGGTGTGTCATGGGTAGGAGGGATGACGCCAGCACGCAGCACCATCACTCACCAGGGTGACTCTCTTCTGTGGCTTCAGCAGCTTTGGTTTGTGGAACGTGGCAACTATTGGAGCTGTGGAAAGAGATCAAGGTTAGTTTACAAGTTTCCCTGGTCTCTCAGTGTTGACCTATCATGAATACCACTGAGCTACTGTGTGCCAATTGGAAGATCCCTTGGAAGAGCTAGTGTCTGACCTGGGTACCCCTGGACTCCCTCCCTGGGGTGGAGAAGGAGTCCTTCGCCCAATCTCTGTGCATGGCATCATCTCCTTGGAGCCAGGTCAGCGCGCAGCTCTGGGTAAGTCATTTCATGAGGTCAAGGGACTTGATGCACTAAGGGCAGGGTCTTCTCCTAGAAGCCGTCCTGGCTGTTCACAAGCCCAGGAAACAATGATAGTCCTCACATAGACTATGACGTCTGCAGGGAGGTTTGTGTGTATGTGTAGATGTATACATATGGTAGATATACATGCACGTGGGGGGGGGTAGCTCCCTGTGCCCTCATTTTTGTCTTTCATAAGGTATGGTAATGGCCACCCTATACTGCATGCAATGGCCAGCGTTGTGAACTTGGCCAGGCCAGTTATACCCTGCTCCGTTCCCTTCTCGGATCTGTGGTTCTCATACTCCTCAGCCTTCATTTTGCATCTTCCAGTTGTAACCCTACTAATACCAGAGGCCATAAAGGGCCCCTAAGATATGTTCTTTACACACCAAGTGATTAAATTGTCCATCTATTAGAAAGAATGATAATGCATCATTTGTAAAGAAATGGAAGGATTTGGGGGAAAAAAAACCATGTTAAGTAAGTCAGAGAGACAAAGGACACATATTTTCTCTCATATGTGGAAGCTAGAATTCATTTATAAATACAAGCATAAACACTTCGGGTGGTATACAATGCACATAAATGTATTAACCCAAATATGAGGGGAAAAGCCAGTGTAACTTCTTAGAAAGGCTAACTCACAGTCCAGCAAAACAACACCAGAAAATGAGAAGCCGAAAAGGTGGGACAGGATCGAGGGGAACTGGGGTAGATGAGGGCAAAAGGCAGTCAGAGAATCTAATGCACATCCTACAAAATTAAGAAAAGGGAGGGAAGGTGGCTTTGGGAGGGATGGGTGAGAATGTTTAAAAGAGTGACATTGATCAAGATGCATTGTATTCATAAACAACTCCTTTGTACAACTACTCAACAAAATACAAGTATTAAAGAACTGTCCACCTGGGAAATCCTTGTATTCCCAACTCTATTTCATATTTGTTAAGATAAACAAGTGAATTGGACAGCTATTTTAGAAACTATCTATAGATAGTCTTGGTTGACTCTAAGATTTGTGGATCTTTTTATCCCCACCTTGAGATATGCCTATATTCTCAATCACGTTGCTATAAATCAAAAGTGGAATCACACAGCTGGGCACTGGTGGCTCAATCCTATAATCCTAGATACTCAGGAGACATGAGGATAGCAGTTCGAAGACAACCCAGGCAGGAAAGTCTGTGAGACTCTATGTCAAAGCCAGAAGTGGAGCTGTGGAGCTGGAGCTCAAGTGATAGAGCAATAGCCTTGAGCACAATAGCTCAGAGGCCCTAAGTTCAAGTCTCAGGACCAGCAGACACACAAAAAGTGGAGTCACAGAATAACCCTCAGTTTCCTCTCCAGGAAAAACCTCAAATGCTCCGCTGACCTGGGTGACATGTTTGCACAGAACTTCTATTCCCTCAGTGGTCAAGAAGATGCTGCCACTCCTACCCACTCCCCACTGTTCTAAAATGTGTAGACCATTTGAAAAATTCCAAGTAACTATAGCACGTACTCCTCTGTTCCAGGCCAACCTTCCCTTGCAGGACTCATGTTGGGCCCCCGATGCCACCTCTGTCCCACGCAAAGGCCATCCTGAGGGCGGGGGTGGCTGAGTACCTCGGTGTGTCACACCCCAGTCCCCTGTAACATGTCCTCTGCTGCTCTTGTCCCATGCTCAAGCCCAGGCCCACCTCCACTCAACCACGGCCTCTTCCTCTCAGGGACTCTCAGGCCCGTTTCTTACCTTTGGCAGGGACTGCAGGGGGGACATCGGCCTTCTCCTTCCGCCTCTTGCCCTTTTTGGGCTGCAGTGGGGCCAAGCTGGTCACACTGGTGACCGTCTCCCCCGAGCTGTGAAAGCAAAAGACCCTTGGTGAAGCCAAAGTCTCGTGAGATGTTGGGAAGCAGAAAGAGAAAGGAACAGCAGTTTCTAGTAGTTTCTGAGCATTCTAGCTGGAGAGGGGATGCTCTGTGCTGATCTCCAGGTATGGCGGCAGGTTTGCTGCTGACCCTCAGCCGAGGAGATGAGTTAGCATGCCATCTATGAAGTGCTGTGTAAAGTTCCAGATGTCCCTGGAGAGAGCAGGGCTAGCTTTTCTATACAATCTACAGATGGGGGAGCCAGTAGTTTAGATCTGGTTGAATTGGCTATACTCTCATGGCTACCTTCCAGGGTGATGGGAAAGATGTCACTAGGAAGTTCTCTTTGAGCTCCCCTAAGATCATATTCCTCATCCCAAATCAGAGCACGTCCAAGGTACTTCCTGGGAGCTATACCCCGAAGTCCTTATCCTCCCCCAAGTCTCCCCCTCCTCCCCTCACCCTCCCCCGTGACCTGCCATGAGTACTGAGCTCCCTTCTGCTATATCTTCACCTCTAGCACAGGCTCAGTGAGCTTACCCTGAGAAGGGGCCTCTCTCCAGTGAGCTGACTGTGTTGGAACTGTAGCATTGGTTTCTTCCTGTATGTTATCCGTGTTAGTCCAATGTGTCAGGACAGTGAGCTTTACATTATACATACAAAAGCCAATGCTCACAGAGGCTATGTAGCTGCTCTGAGCAACACTGGCACCATGCAGTGGACAGGTAAGATAAACCTCTATATGAGGATAGAGCCCACAGACCTCCTGGAATGCCCATCAGTTCTGCTCCAAAGGTTTCCTATATGCTAGCAACCTGGAGGAAAGCCCCCTTCAGGATCTTCTATCCTTGGGCACAGATCGCAGGAAAAGTAGGGTGTACTAGAGGAGGCCACCTCCTGAAACCATAAAGAAATTTCCTGAAGTAGCCAGGCACTGGTGATTCACACCTGTAACCAAAGCTACTCAGGAGTCTGAGACCTGAGGATCACAGTTGGAAGCCAGCCTGGGCAGAAAAGTCCACAAATCTCTTATCTCCAATTAACCAAGAAGCCAGAAGTAGAGGTGTGATTCAAGTGGCAGATTGTCAGTCTTGAGCTAAAAAGAGAATCCCTGAGTTCAAGTTCTAGTGCTAGCACAATAAAAAAGAAAAGTTTCCTAAAGTCCCTAAGAATGGGACCAAATTTAAGACAAAATAATTTGTTTTTTGCTCACTGGGGTTTGAGATTGAAATGCTGCCAATAGTTTGAATTGTGTTCTGTAAGAAAATATTGGGTTATTTTTAGACTGTGTGGAATTATAAAGATGTCAGCTTTTTAAAATTCATGTTTGGTTGCTAGGATTTTTCTTTTTTCTTTTTTTTTTGGGGGGGGGTCCAGTTGTGGGGCCTGAACTCTGGGCCTGTGCACTGTCCCTCAGCTCTTCAGCTCAACACTAGCACTCTACCACTTGAGCCACAGCGTCACTTCCGGCTTTTTTCTTTTTGCTTACGTGGTGCTGAGGAATCAAACCCAGGGCCTCAAGCATGCAAGGCAAGCGCTCTACCACTGAGCCACCTTCCCAGCCCCTAGAATTTTTCTTTAAAAAATACTTTGAAGTAACTTCATTTAAAAAGAATATATTCTCAAATTTACTTTCATCTGCATAATCTGGAAATAGTCACAAAAAAAAACTTTAAAAATAAAGCCAGACCCTGGTGGCTCACACCTACGGTCCTAGCTACTCTGGAGGCTGAGATCTGAGGACTGAGGTTGAAAGCCAGCCCAGGCAGGAAAGGCCATGAGACCCTTACCTTCAGTTAACCAGTAAAAAGCCAGAAATAGAGGTATGGGTCAAGTGGTAGAGCACCAGCTTGAGCAGAAAAGTCAAGCAAGAAAGTAAGGTCCTGGTATCCAACACAAAACAAAACAAACAAAACAAAAGAATTTAAAAATAGTATTTCTTGAGAATTAAGATGCTGAGGGACTTAACCAATAGCAGATAGGACAGAAAGAGTTACCATTGGATTCATTTACAAGTAAATGCAAATAAAAACATATCCATAGTTATGATGCATTATTCTAATAACAAACTAGATATTTAAAAACAAATAAATGAAGACTGAACATCACAGTGTGGGAAAACTTCCAAAAACCTAGTTTCCAGAGAGTTTCATCAAGGTCAGCATATTTTTGTTGGGAATAGAAAGGTTAACTAGTCCTAGATTTATAGGGCTCCTGGTGTCAGTTCTCAAACAGCTGAGAAGAATGTGAGTTTGCAAAACTCTGCTAAGAGCAAACAAGGGATTAGAAGCTCTTGGAAGTGCTTAAATACACAAATACATGTTCAGCTTAGCTTTGTAAACTCTTAAAATGTTTATTATTTTTCCTTTCCAATATAAAGTAATGCAGACTCCTGGTTTAGGTATGAAAATAAAAGGAAGTAACTAGTATGACTATACACAACGTTTGAAGATAGTTCCACAATTCTACACTATTTTTACGTGTGTGTGTATGTGTGTGTGTGCATGTGTGTGTATGTGTGTGTGTGTGTGTGCACTAGGCCTTGAGCGATATCCCTTGGTTTTTTTTTTTTGTTGTTGTTCAGGGCTGGTGCTCTACTACTTGAGCCATGGACTTTTATACCTGAGCTGGCTTTGAATGCGGATCCTCAGATTTCAGCCTTCTTAGTAGTTAGAATTACAAGTGTGAGCCACCAGTGCCTGGCTTATTTGAAATATTTAGTTTGCATTTTTAATAGACTTATTTTTGGAGAGGTTTTAGGTTTACAGAACAATGGAGTAGAGGGACAGAGATTTTCCAAATTCTCTCCCTTGCATACAGTATGTCCACCCTTCCCCAATGTGGTACATTAGTTGTGTGTGTGTGTGTGTGTGTGTGTGTGTGTGTGTGTGTGAGCTTTCAGAGGTTTGAACTCAGGGTCTCACACTTTGGTTTGCCTTTTTTGCTCAAGGCTGGTGCTCTACCAATTGAACCACACCTTACTTACGGCTTTTTGGTGGTTAATTGGAGAAAAGAGTCGCACAGCCTTTCCTGAATGGCTGGCTTTGAACCTTGATCTTCAAACCTCAGCCTCCTGAGTAGCTAAGATTACAGGCGCGAGCCACTGGCACCTAGCAAGAGTGGTGCTCCTCTTGATACATTTTCCATGGCTTTGGACAAAGTATGGTAACATGTCAGCCCCACTCTGCCCCTTGATACTACACAGAACAAATCTATCGTGTGTGTAATGCACCTGCCACCATTTACTTGGCATCTTGGATTGGTTCTCATGGATTTTCATGCACCTTTCCTATCCCAATATTTATTGCAAACATTTCCTCTAATTTCTTTTCCTTCTGAAATCTTTTCCTATCTTTCTTTTGCCTATGAGCTCAGATAATCTCTCCAATCATACCTCATAGACTGGAGGGTCAATTGTTATTTCCATCTCCTTTTCTCTTTTCTTTTAGCTCTTTCCTATATTAAAAAATGAAAGTTTCTTGAACATCCCTGATAATGAACTTATGTCACCATGCCCAGGGCTTTCAGTAAGCAGGAAAAAAAATTCTGCATTGTCATCATCATTTTTTTTCCTTCTGAATAGTACAACTGCACTAAACTAAATTTAGCTCTAATTCATAGTTCAACAGTGAGACCCCATACACACAAGTGAGTCACCCCGGAGACATAATGTTACTGATGCTCCTCCCAGCCCAAATCCGGTTTTTCTCCACTTTGCCAGCAGGGCTGGGTCCAAGTTCTTTTGACTAAGAAAGCCTACCTTATTATTAACTTACAAGCAAAAGTTATCCTGAATCTCAGATTGGAACAGAGCTGGATTTTGTCTCGGACACAGAGAGTGAGTGTTGCTGGTGCCAGAAAGGATGGAAACCAGGAAGTATGGGAAACATGGCCCCGGAAATTCCCTCAAAATTAGAGAGTTTGTGTGACCAGCAAGAAGTGAAGTGTTTGTGAGGAGCTTGTTGTTAAGCTGGGCTGGGTTTTTTGTTTGTTTCTGGCTCTAACAAGGGCAAAGCAAGAGGCAGCACATGTAGGACTTTTGTAGGAGAGCAAGAGATGTGTATTGTTGTTGCCTGGCCACCTTCCAGAAGGAGTTTCCATCCCACAAAGGCTTTCCCCTCCTCCATGACCCATGGTGCCCAGATATACGTTGAATGGGCACTGGGCAGGGGGTAGAAGGCCTGTAACAATGCTCGTTCCAGTCTAACTAGAGATGACCAGGCACTTATTCTCTTGGGCCTTCACATCCTTAATCTGTAAAATGGGTGACCTGTCCTTTTCCTATCTCACAGAGTTATTACAGATTTTGTTTGTTTTTTCCTCTTTCTGGTCATTTGGCTTGAACTCAGAGTTTGGGTGCTGTCCCTGAGCTTTTTTGCTAAAGACTAGCACTCTACTATTTGTGCCACAACTCCACTTCCAGCTTTTTGGTGGGTCATTGGAGGTAAGAAGCTCATGGATTTTCCTGCCCCAGGCTGGCTTTGAACTGTGATTCTCAGATCTCAACCTCCTGAATAGCTAGGATTATAGGGGTGAGCCACTAGCACCTGGATCACAAAGTTATTATAAAAGTTAGCTTAGATGACAGGGCCTGTATGAAATGGGGCAGGATGAGCTAGCTTCCGAGTCTCATCCAGCATGTGGGTAGCAGGGAGGACATCTCACAGAGGCCCTGGGAATGTGACATTTCGCAGTGCCCCTGCTTCGGCCTTGAGAGAAAGGCTACACGTTTCAATGCAAACCTTGGTCAGAAGTCTTTCTTCTGTATATAAAAACAGAATGCGGTCCCCAACATGGCCTCTCACAGATGCAGTGGTGCCAAGCACGTGCCAGCACAGGGCAGACCAGGCAGGAATAAGGAGAGAAGCTATGCCCCCAAGCAATGGACTGCTACCCCATGACCAGCAGGAGTAGGTAACCTGGATTTTCCAAGGCTCCAACAAATTCTGAATAGCCATTGTATGTGTGTGTGTGTGTGTGTGCATGCACAC